TCAAAAATAAATTTGACTTTTTCCAGATGAAAGGTACGATATTTTTTTTTTAATCGGAAGCCGAGGTTTTTTCCTACAAAAATATATAGTTGAAAAAATTTGACAATAATTTTTAAATATTGAAAAATAGTAAAAAAAAAAATGATTAAAAATAGCCAAAATGGTAAAAATAAAAAGCAAAAAATGTTAATTATCAATATTTAAACATTTTTATCCCATTATTTTTTGTTAAAAGAGCTTATAAAAAATTTTATGTTTTTATTACCTTCATTGTTACAAATTCCCCAATACGGAGTTGTTTTTTTAAAAATAGGTGTTTTTTTTTTAGGTAAAATGCATAGAATTTTTATTGTAATTTATTGCAAAAATAATATTGATTAATTGATAATAGCAACTATGATTATAAAAAATTTTTGATAATTTTCCTAATTTATTGAATATATTCAAAAATTTGTTACAACCAACCCCCAGCTCCCCTATAATGCGCTTATAATTAGAGAGAGCATCTTTGATATATACTACTATCTGCAAAATTGCTAAATTGCGGAAGTAATTGTTTCTTTTCATATAGTTTATACATGAGGGCGTGTTCTACAAGTGAGTCATGTTTATCGACTTTTTCATTTCTAGGAGACGTCGGGGTTGAATATAAGGGTGATACGACTCTTTATATGCGACTGGCTCTACATGTGAATCATTCGTCATTATTATTTCCGGTACACAGGTACAATATCCACGTATCTTTTCTTAATATTAATAATTTTTCATTCAATGAAATTATTTTTTAAAAAAATTTTTTACAAATTTTTAATACATATATCTAAAAAACCAATATTCTAAATTTAGAATATCGTATTTCTAAAATAGCTGCCAAGGATATATTTATATATAAATTTTAGAATAATTTTTTTTCTATATGTAAATATTGTACTTATTTTTTTTTTTACAAAAAAAAATTAATTAAATTTTTGTAACAAAATCAGTAAAATATTTAGACATATTTTATGATTTAAAATTAACTGAATTATATGGGTGATTCTCCAGAAACGGGTCACTTTTGAATAAGGAATTTTTTTTTCAAAATTATTTAAAAATACATGTTTATTGCATCCTTTGTATTAATTATGATTGGAACAAGTGATTCTAATAAATATTTGAGCTTAAAAACCGTTTTTAATGTAATTTTAACGATAAATATGTATTGTAGTACTTTCAGCGCAATAGCGTAGCAAGGGCGGCCGGGGCCCCAGGCACCATTGTTTTTGCGCAGACATGTAATTAAATTTTTAATATTTAATTTTTCGAGAACAAAACAATAATTTCTTTGCAAAAATTAATTGTTTTGTAGAAATTTATCTCGGCTTTTTTTTATAAAAATAGAGAAAAAAAATTAAGTTTCTTAAACGCAAGGGAACTGAAAAGCTGAATGACGGCCCTGTAGTTGAGTGTCGTTTCTGCTCGCGCGAAACTTGCGCATGCTCAATAAAATTTCGGGGGCCGGAGTTGAGAGAGCTGGAGTTGAGAAACAAATGAAAAACATTAATTACTTTGTTAATTAAGGACTAAATAAAAAATCCTTTAGGGATTTTATACAATTTTATTACTTTTATCGATACTATAGGTTGAAATTCAAAATTATTTTGAAAAACGATTGTTTTAAACAGGTTCGGAGTTGAGACATAATAAAAATACGCAAATTGTATTGTTTAATAATATAAATTTAAAAGTTAATTAGTTAATTAGTACCGTTGATTTTTATTCAATTGGGATTTTTACACATATTTATCAAAAAATTGCTTTAGTTACAATGAAAATAACAAGCAAAACCTCGAAAAACTAGTCAAATTCTCAACTCCGGATCCAGAAAAAAATTTACGAAGAAACATTATAAATAAACATTTTTTTATTTAAATGGACGAAAAATTAAAAACCCTTTTAGGGAATAACAGTTTTTCAGCCATACTTTAAAATGACTATAATGACAAATTTTATTTTTTTAATTTTAATGTCAAAAATCTTATTCAAAAATAGCAAAATCCATGTGTGGAACGAGCAAAAGTATATTTTTAGCATATTTCAGATGACAAATTAAATTTTGGGAAGTAAAATATCATTATATTGATAATGAGTTTATTAAAGATCATTAAAATGAAGAAATTTAAAAAAAAATAAACCAATTCTAGATAATATTTATTAACTAATTAATCAAAGAATCAAAAGTGACCTGTTTCTGGAGAATCACCCATATATATATATATATATATATAATAAACAAAATTAATTGAATTTTAACTATATAAATATTTAAATATACAAATTTTGTTTAACCATTTTGACAAAGGACCAAAAAAATCTCTACATTTGGATTCTGACATCATATCTTTTGAACTTTAAATATTTGCATTTTTAATTTGCATTCAACTTTGCGCATAGTGAAATTATAGACTTCAGAAATTATAGACGTTTCACAATTATGCTATATATATATATATATATGAGAACTTGAAAAGAAGATATATAATAAATATAGTTAAACTTACAAATAAAAAAAGAAAAAAACAATAAATAATTTAATTTTAAAACAATTATAAATATGAAAAATATTTCTTTAAATATGTATATACAAAAAGATTGAATATTAAAGATTTTCGCAGATCTAAAGAAATATTTATTTATTTATTTAAATATTTATTTTCACAGAAAATTAAAAGGCATTAAAATAATAAGCATTACAGCTTATTTTAATGCCTTTTAATTTTCTGTGTTTTTCAAATAAATTTCATATTTGTTTTAAATATATAAACATTTTATTTACGGTAATAATATTTTTTATATATTTGAAACAAATAAACAGTTATTTAACTTTGAAGATAAATATATACATCCAGAAAAAAGATTTCCTTGGTTCAAAGAAATCAATTTCTTTGAAAAAATTTTTCTTTGATACAAATAAAATTTATTTGTTTCAAACAAATTATCTTCAGTTCAAAGGAAATTATCTTCGTTTCAAAGAAATTTTTTATATAATTCAAATAAATGTTTCTTCGACTCTAATATCAATGTTAGAATTTCTTTGATGTAATGCAAAAAATTTCTTTTATTCAAAGAAAATTTCTTTGAATTAAAGAAGCTTTCTTTGAAACTAAGAAGGTATTTCATCCAAATAAATTTATTATATCTAATTTTAGTTTAAATAAAAAACTTCAATAGACAAATAAATGTAGACAATAGTTATAAAAATGATACTAGTTATGAAATTAAAATTATCTATATTGTGTGAGTCATCGCAGAGTTTTTAATGAATCATTACCTTATGTATTTGATGTTTATATATTCGTCTTAAATAAAAAAAAAAAAGTAGACATTTAAATTTTAAGATTAATGTGTCTCTTTTGTCATTGATGACCAAAAAAGTCTCTTGACTGTACTCTTTCGCCCACGATTTCAATCAGACACCATTTAATGAAAGTAGAACTCATTTTTAAAACCCTCAAGTATTACTTAAAATTAAGCTAATATGTAGGTTACTTTTTAAAAATTTTCAATGCATTTCATTTTGAATTTTTAAAATAATTAAAATTTTGTAGAAGTATTTTTATTTTCTACAGTTAAACAAATGAAAAAAAAAGTTTTTGATTACTATTTAAATTATTATTAAATTTTATCTGAATTAAGAAAATTTTATTTTTATTGCTAAAAAATATTAATAAAAAATATTAATAAGTAATTAATAATTATACAAAAACCTCACTAACAAATATAGTAATAATAATAATAATAATAATAATAATACACTGAAAAAAAAATTTATTTGGTTCAAGTAAATATTTATTTGATAATAGTCAAGAAACCAATTATTTGAATCAAATAAATTTTTTTCAGTGTAATAATAATAATAATAATAATAATAATAATAATAATAATAATAATAATAATAATAAAAAATAGTAGGTAATAATAATTAATAATACATGTTTAATTATAAAAATATTAAAAACTGATTATTTTATTATTATTATTATTATTATTATTAAAAAAATAATTTTTTTTATAAAATTAAAAATAAGTATATATAGTTATAACGACAATAATATGATAACAATGTATCATTAAAATTTAATTATTGTAATGTATTTTTAAAAAAATTACAAAATGCAAAATTATTAAAAATTAAAAAATGTTTTTAAAATTACTATTTTAAAAATACATAATGAATCCTGTAAACTTTTTTTTTTTTTTACAAATAATTGCAATATATGTAACAATTATTATTATTATCATAATGACAATAACAATATTTTTTTAATAAAAAAGATTTAAAAAAAAAAAAAAAATTTTTTAAATAAACTTAAATTAAATGCTTGAATTATTTACAATGAAAATTTATTCCACTTTTGCTTTAATGGGCATAGAAATTATGAGGAACATTAATAATTCCTGTTAATTAATTAAAAACAATTAATGACATAACAGGGTAATAATCTCTGATTAAATGTTTATTCCACATCCTGCGACAATAATATTCACCTAGAAATTCAACTATGTAAAACAAATTGTGCTCCATTAATGATAATAATTATAAAAGAAAAATTAAATGTTACAACCAACAAACGAATTCAAAATAACGATCATTGACCTTCATTTATATATCTATATATATATAACGACCATTCAAACTTTTCTCGAAAAAAAAAAAATTAAAGGCGGGAAAACAATATTAACGTAAATGGAAAAATTTTACATTGAAAATTTAAAATTTTATTTCATTGATAAATAATGAAAAAAAAAGTCACATTAATTTTTTTTCCAACCATTCAAGACCTTATAAAGAATATAAAAATGTTTCGTTAATAAACGGAAATTCATGCTTGGTTGTAAAAGTGGCAACGTCGGCGACGCCGACGCCTGTCGCTCGCTTGACTCCCATTGTGGTAGAAGGGGCGCAACAACCAATCAGAATTCACGCTTCTACCTTCCCCCCTTTTACATATTCGCTGCTTGTCTCGGGCCTTGGTCCTGTCTCGTCTGGTGAAGTGTTCAGTGCGGAGTAGTTCGTCAGATTCGTATAAACATATTACTTGTTTGTTAACCCTCATAAAATCAATAGTAAGACAATTTTTATCAAACAATCAAGATGAGGGAAATCGTTCACATTCAAGCTGGCCAATGTGGAAATCAAATTGGAGCCAAGGTAAGAAGAAATTAATCGAAATATCATTTTTATTCATGGCGAAAAAAAAAGAAAAAAAAAATGTTCGGTAGTGTGCAAAGACGCGTGAAATGCCGGAGAATGTGCCGCGCGCGCGCCTCTCGTCCCTTTGTTCCATCGTTTTCCATCGTCCTGAAAAACCGTTGATCCATTTTATTTTATGATAATTCAAGAAATTGATTTTTTTTTATTAAAAATTCAGTTTATTAATTTTTTTTTGTGATTCTCGAAAAGTTTGATTCTCTCAAATTTTTATTTTTTATGGGATTGCCTCGACGAGAAAATTCTCCGGTCTCCATTTTGCAAGTGTGCTGAATATTTTTTTTCTCTCTCCTTCCTTTTGCTGCTGATTTCATCAACGGTATTCCAGTTATTCCCTCTCTCTCTCCCCACCTGGCCTTCAGCGTCCAGCCAACTCCTAGTTTTTTTTTTTTATAATATATAAAATAAAATGTTTTAGAGAAAAAAAAATGGTTTCCTTTATTTAATTTCAGGAAGTATTTTTCTGTAAATATAGTAAAATAATTTTTCTCTTCTATGTGTAAAAAATTCAGCCATGAAAAAAATACTGTATATTAGTGTGTGTGTGTGTGTAATTGTTTGAATTCTCCTTATCGACCGGTTGCCGACTCGGGATATTCCAACGGTTTTAAATATAGACGCTTACGGTGTGATTGATTTTTGAATTTTTCTGTTTTGATTCACAGTACGGAGAATAAGAATTCTATTTAATTATTTATTAAAAGTTCCTTTAATTTTGAAACTCTATTATTGTGTATTTTGATTTATATATTTCTTGCTGTTGTGTGTGTGTGTGATAAATATTTTTCAATATAAGAGTATTGATTGTTATTCGTATTAATATGCTAATTACTTGATAATAATTTTTTAATGTTTATTTTTGCAAGTTTTTTAAATACATTATTATTCTTACGGTAAAAAAATTTTTTTTTTGAACTCTTCGAATTTTTTCATATTTTTATTTATTTTCGCAAAGTTTTTATAATTTACTAACGTGAATTAAGTTAATTAGATTTTCTGTAATTAAAGTATATTATTGAAATAAAAGGTTTTAAATTAATTTCAAAAATAATTTGATCACAAATAAAAATAAATTAATTACATAGAGAGATAAATAATTTAAATATAATTTTTTTAAATTTTTGTTAATTTTAATAGTTTTTAAAAAATCAAAAAAATTTTATAATTTTTAATTTTAATTAAATTTTAAATTTCGTTATTTAAAAACTGTTTGTAATATTTTTTTTTAGCAAAAGTATTATAAAAATTATTCTAATAAAATTTAAAAAAAAATTTTTTTTTAATAAAGTAAATATAAAAAAACAAATTTGTAATTAGTTTAATTTAATTTGAGAATAACAAATAAAGTAGAAATTGTTTATATTTAAATTTATTTATTTACAATTTATTAGTTGAATTATTTTTTAAAATAGGTTTAAAATCAATTTTTTATTAAAATTTAAAATGAAGAAAATAAAATTTTCTCTTTGAAAAATTTTTCAATGAAAATGCCGAATTTAATTCCCTTGGCAACATAGCGTTAAAGGTCAAAGAAAAGATGATTAGCGAATGACTAAATATGACTGTTGATAATCTCTTCTGTGTTGGCTCAGAATAAACAGAGCTTTCAAATGTCCCGTTACAAAGATTAAGTAATTCAGTGTCATCGCACGAGAGGAAATTAATCCTTATTATGCGCTTTTCCACATTTCACCGACCTTAATTTTTTTTTTTTTTTTTTTACACAGAATTATTTTTCAAGCAAAAAAAAAAAGCACTGAAAATATATTCTAATTAAAAAAAATAAATAAGAGTTACAAAAAAAATATAAAATAGAAGTCAAGATAAATTAAATTGAGAATATTTTTTTTCAGTAAAAAGAGAGAAAAAAAATAAAGTTTCATGCTCCTTTTGAATGATGTGAATTGTGTAATATTCAATTCCAAGGACGTCAGGTCCATGTAGGTTGATATTACTTGGCAATAGACATTTCCAAATATGTAAAAGAAAATTGTAATCCTCCCGGTCGGTTCCTTGAATTCCACTAATGAGAGATTTATGACGTGATCTTTTTCTTTGAAAAGCTAACATTTTTTTTTTTTTATACACCAATCAAAATTGGAAACTTCTTACATTCCTCCCTTTTATATTGGCATACTTTTCCAGAAGGCCATTGTACTTTTCAGCCTCGTAAGGAATTTCTGACGAGGCTTCTTTTCTTTTTCCCCCATTTTTAATTCAAAACATGCTGTGATTGTATATTTATATCAATAAAAATGTTTAGAGTATTAAAAATAATATTAAAATATTTTGATAAAAATATTCAAATGGTGAAATTATTTTTTATTTTTTAACTGTATTAGAAAAAAAGTCCATTGAAATTATTTAAAAAGAAATAAAATAGAAATTCTATTTCATATATTAATATTGTTGAATTAAGAAAAAAAAAATTGTATTAATTAGAAGTTAAAAAGTCTCAATTAACTATTTCAATAATAATTAATGAGAGAAAAAGTTGAATTTGATTTACGATATATTGTGAGATGAATATATTTTAATTAAAAATTAATTATAGAAATTAAAAAGAATATATATTTTTTAATGATATTATTAAGTTTAATTAAAAATTCAGAGGAATAAAATTTAAAATGTAATTTATAACAGGATTCATTTTTTTGGGACTATTAAAAAAATTTGAAAAAAAAATAACACTGAATTTAACGGTATATTATTAATCAATTCGAGTTATAAATTTTGAAATCAAACTCATTATAAAGAGACTGTAAATATATTTGATATTTTACTCTCATATTTTAATTTAAAAGAATTTTTACGTACACAAAATAAAAATTTTGTAAAATAAAAGATAAGTTGAAAAATTGGACATTTTAAATAAGTTTTTAAGCAATTTTTTTTTTACGTTTTATACAGTCTTAAATAAAAAATGTAAAATATATATGATGCGATTTCTATTAATATCTTATTATCTTGAGGAAAAAATTCACTACAATGAGATCGTGGGGATTTGTTCAAGAATTTTCGTTTTCTAAATGCGATTATTTTAACCACTTTATACAATAATAAACATTGCATGAATGTTAATTTTTTTTTAGAAAGTTCAGTTGTAGAGAATCTTTAAATAATAAGGTATTGTTTTTTTGTTTAATGTAGAGTTACTTTTTTAAGCAATATTATTGAGACTTAAGCAGCTTTAAGAAAAAAATGTAAATTTTTATCGGATTAAAATATTGTTTTCACGTAACAAAGAATTTCATTGATAAATTCTGTTGTTTCATTATTAGTATAATTTTTATTTAATTAAATTTTCATATAACAATTTTTATTTGAATTTTTTTTTTAAATCGAATTTTTTATCATAAATTTCTAAATGTTTTGGTTAATTTTAAAATTTCCATTGAAATGTTTCTGCTTCTTAAATGAAATAAAAAAAAAAAAAAATATTAAATAAAAATTTCATTATTGTTCACAAAAAAAGTGATAGTTACAAATCATTAAGGAGATTCAATCCATTGACATAACCTGAAACTAAAAAGTTATTTTTAACAAATAAAATTGTGATTAAAATTGGTGTTATCGAATTTTGAAAGATTCAGTTGTAAAATTAAAAAAAAAAAATTATTTTGAGCCAAAATTTCTTGTTAAATGTTTATTATTATCTAACTTTTTTTTATGTTTTTTCTTTAAAATTAATAAATAACTATAATATTTATCCAAATTTTACAAACAATAGGTCATTTTAACGAAGCTCAAGTACGTAACGTTTATGATAAACGATTTTTAAAGAAATAATTTTTTAAATTGAAAAATTCTATAATTTTTTCCCTAAAATATATTTCTTGTAGTTTTCATTAATCAAAAAATTATAAAAAAATATTTTTTAATCAAAAAATTATAAAAAAATATTTTTTAAGCAAAAAATTAAAGAATTTTTCATTATAAAAAATTATTTCTTTAAAAATCGTTTATCATAAACGTTGCGTACTTCAGATTCGTTCATTTTACTAAAAAAAAATCTCTACAATTCAGTTTGTTGAGTTGAAAAGTTATTAAACAAAATACAATTTTTGTTTATTGTAAATTTTTTAATTTAATTATTATTTAACAAAAAAAAAAGAGAGAAAAGTGAGTTATTGTTCATAAAAATTGGATAAAAATTACAATTGTTCACTAATTTTTAACCTCCATGAAGTTGGCGTCGACGCTCAGCGTCGAAAATTATTTTTCATGGGTTAAAAAATATTAAAACATTTTTTAAAAAGGTTTTGAGTCCACACAATGCTTTGAGAAGTATTTTTCAAGGTATTATTTGGATTGAAAAATTAAAAAAAAAATAATTTGAATTTTTTAATTCGGTGAAAAACATTTTTCGGCGCTGAGCGTCGAAGCCAACTTCAGGGAGGTAATTTTTAAGAAAAAATAATTATTTTTTAAAAAGTAAAGTATAAACTTTTAGCAATTTTTGCCTCTTAAAAAAATGTCACCTATTTTACATATTTTTATAATTTGTTACTTTTTTTCACCTTTCTCGCATAATTCGGTTGATATTCTGATGTAATATTTAAAAAAAAAAAATAAATTTAAAATGTAAAAAATATCAATCTGTTTAAATTTTAATTGCTCCAAATTTCAATTCAATCTAAATTTTAATTAAAATTTCAAATAATCCAACTTCAATCAATTTTTATTTTTATTCGTTAAAAGAAAATTATTAATTAAAATTTTAATCAAATGCAAATTCAATCGATTGAAATTTAAAATTAATGAAATTTTAATCTATGTAAATATTAATTGATTCAAGTTTTACTTTATCCAAGTTTTTATTTATTTACAATTTCAAATTATTTGAAATTTCATTTTATTCAAATTTTAATTGACTTTAGTTTAAAAAAATGTTCAAACTTTAATTGATTGAAGATATTTACATTACTGCTTTGAAAATTGTTCAAAATTACAAATTGATGATAAAAAAAACGAAGCTGAAATACGCAACGTTTATGATAAACGATTTTTAAAGAAATAATTTTTTAAAACGAAACATTCTATTATTATTTGCCTAAAAAATATTTTTTTATAATTTGTTGATTAATAAAAACTAGAAGAAATATTATTTAGGCAAAAAATTATAGAATTTTTTATTTTAAAAAATTATTTCTTTAAAAATCGTTTATTGTAAACGTTGCGTACTTTATCTTTGTATAAAAAAAACATAAAATCTTGTTTAAAAAAAATCTCAGTTTCCCTGAAAAACTTGTTTAAATATAAAAAATCGTGATTTAATAAGTAAAATGTTCTCAAATAGTTAATGTCAGGGAAATGGAAAAATTTATTCTTGTGGCAATCCTGGGCTTTATAAAAAAAAAATGTAATCCATTGTACCCCACTCTCTCCCTATTTATAATCGATTATTTATAGAAACGCATGAATAAGCTCTAAATCAAATATTTTAGAATTATAATTTGATAGAATCTTATTTTTTTTTAGAATATTTATTTGTTCGAATTGTAGAATTCTAAATTAATTAATTTAGCAGAATTGTAATTTAAAAGAATCTTAATTTTGCAGAAAGACGATTAGAAAGAATATTTTGCAGAATATTCATTTGCTCGAATATTAATGTCATTCAAAAAAATCTAAAATGGTCGAAAATCAATTTGCCATAGAAATAATACGACGGAAACTTGAAATTTGACCAATCGGAAATTATCAAGAAAACTTTGATTGGTCAAATTTAAAATTTCCGCCGTATTATTTCTGACAAATTGATATTCGACATTTTCTAAAAAAAAATTAATATTCAAACAAATAAATATTATTGCAAAATTAATATTCTACAGAATAAGATTCTATCAAATCATAATTCTAAAAAAAAAAAAAAATATTTTAGAGCTTATATGCGTTCCATTATTTATTGTGTAAGATTGTTTATTTATAATAAATTTTTGTAAGTCAAATTTTTATTTTATGTATAACTAATGTAAATAATGTTATTTTTCAGTTTTGGGAAATAATCAGCGACGAGCACGGTATTGATCCAACTGGCGCTTACCATGGAGACTCTGACCTCCAATTGGAGAGAATCAATGTCTACTATAATGAGGCATCAGGCGGCAAATATGTACCACGAGCAATTCTCGTTGATTTGGAACCAGGCACAATGGACTCTGTTCGTTCGGGACCATTTGGACAAATTTTCAGACCTGACAATTTTGTATTTGGTCAATCAGGAGCCGGTAACAATTGGGCAAAGGGACATTACACCGAGGGCGCTGAATTAGTTGACTCTGTTCTCGATGTTGTACGTAAAGAGGCCGAAAGTTGCGATTGCCTCCAGGGATTCCAATTGACTCATTCACTTGGCGGTGGTACTGGTTCCGGTATGGGAACCCTTCTCATTTCAAAGATCCGCGAGGAATATCCCGACAGAATTATGAACACCTATTCAGTTGTTCCATCGCCAAAGGTTTCAGACACTGTTGTTGAACCCTATAACGCCACACTCTCCGTACATCAATTAGTTGAGAATACTGACGAGACATATTGCATTGACAACGAAGCACTTTATGATATTTGCTTCCGTACATTGAAATTATCGACACCAACATACGGTGATTTAAATCATCTTGTATCACTCACAATGTCGGGTGTGACGACATGTCTCAGGTTCCCTGGACAATTGAATGCCGATCTTCGTAAACTCGCCGTTAATATGGTACCATTCCCACGTCTTCATTTCTTTATGCCTGGTTTTGCACCATTGACATCGCGCGGTAGCCAACAATATCGTGCATTATCTGTACCCGAATTGACACAACAAATGTTTGACGCGAAAAATATGATGGCCGCCTGCGATCCACGACACGGTAGATATTTAACAGTCGCCGCCATATTCCGTGGCCGTATGTCAATGAAGGAGGTTGACGAGCAAATGCTCAATATTCAAAATAAAAATAGCTCCTACTTTGTTGAATGGATTCCAAATAATGTGAAGACAGCCGTTTGCGATATTCCACCACGTGGTTTGAAAATGTCAGCGACATTCATTGGTAATTCGACGGCAATTCAAGAATTGTTTAAGAGAATTTCTGAACAATTCACAGCTATGTTCAGGAGAAAGGCTTTCTTGCATTGGTACACTGGTGAGGGTATGGACGAAATGGAATTCACTGAGGCCGAATCGAATATGAATGATTTGGTGTCTGAATATCAGCAATATCAAGAGGCTACCGCCGATGAGGACGCGGAATTCGACGAGGAACAAGAGGCCGAAGTTGATGAGAATTAAATTTTTTTTATTTCTCTTTCATTATCTTCTTTTTTTTTTTTTTAATGACGTTTTTAAAAAAAAAAAAAAAAAAAAAATGTAATCATTCTCTCAAATATGAAAAAAAAGCTTTACGCTTCGTAACCTTTTTGCGATATCGATTGATTTTTTTCTTTATATAATTCTCTTTCATTTTTTTTTTTTACATGAACTTTTTTCTTGATTGCCCCCCCCCCTCAATTTTTTAAAAAAAATTTTTTGTTTTTTTTTTTTTGGTTTAATGAAGACGCGGAAATGATTCTTCTCGTTCGCGAGAAAGAGACATGTGTATTATTTTCGAAGTATATATATATATTATGTGTCTTGCTTTTTTTTGGAATTGTAAACAAGATTTTCTTGTTATTTTGTTTTTGTATTTTTTTTTTTTTTTATGTATTATCCTCTTTGGTAACGCGTCGTTTAATGACTTTTCAGTGTATATATAATCGCCTCCGCGGATACATCTTTTAATAAATTATTATTGGTAATAAATGGAGATTTTATTATTTGTGTGCAACATTTTCCTCATATTTTCATTTATTTGGAAATATTATTTTTTTATATTGCAATTTTTTATTTTAAATTTTATTTTAAATTAAATTGTCTTTTATGATTTTAATTTTCGTATTGAGCAGAGAAAAAAATTCCAAGTTTTAAAAAAACGCAAAAAATATTTGTATTTTTTTTTTTTTGAGAAAGTGGGAAAACAATTTTAATTACAAGGAATCAAAAATTTTGAGTTTAAAAAAATTGTTCGATAAAATTAAATCCTTGTTTTTTTCTAAATTAAAAAAAAATGTAAATTTTTCCAAATTCTTAATTACTAATATTTAGCAAATTTTCAGTGTTTTTTTTTAATTAGAAATTTTTTTTATTTCTTTTCACTTGGAAATTTCTTATGTAACTTGAAAAAAAAAATTTTTTACTGTAAATTAATTTTTTTTCATTGATTCATTTATAATTGTATTATTATTAGTATAATTATATTATTATTTAGTTATTAGTTTATTTTTGAACAAGTAGAATATTTCTTTTTTTTTTTACTGTAAAAAATTCTCTGGAGGTGAAAATGGAAAATCTTTAAAGGAAGGCAACACCCTTATTTTGACCCCTTTAAATTTTAATGATCACATGAAGTTATAAATTTTTTTTCCTTGAAATATTTTTGTCCTAAAAACATACAAGATGGACAAAAAAAAGAATATTTTAATTTATGATTTTAGAATTTATAGTTTTATCAAAATTAAACTACTTTCATTTATTTTTATTGTTTTCTATCGTCAATTTTTTCCCACGTTTTCTTTTTTTTTTTTTTTTTTTTTTTTAATAATTCTAATGAATCTTTTGTATAGATTTTCAAAAATTTTAATTTAAAAAAAAATGAATTCAAATTTTATAAAAACTTCTTCCACATATTTGACTATTTTTCATTGCCAACTTTTTTACATGTTAATTAATTAAATGTTAATGGAATTAAATTTAAAAAAAAAAAACAATTTCTAAAATAGTCAAAAAATTAATATTTTCATTTATTGACCAACCTGTATGTTTTTATAATTGGAGAAAAAAAATTATTACTTCCAGTAATCATTAAAATTTAAAGAGGTCAAAATAAAGGTGATGCATTCCCTAAAGAAAATTTTCATATAGAGAAATTTTTGGAAATTTAAAAGTATCCGAAAATTATAAAAATAGCATGAAATTTTTAATTGATTTTTTTGTAGAAATCTTTTTAGAAAAAATTGTTGAAATTATTTTGATTTATAATTTATGTAAATTCAAGATAACATTTATTTTACTCATAAGTATCTAATAAATATGAATAAAAAGTTATTATTATTATGTAATATGCAAGAAAAATATGACAAATTATTATAATAATAATATTATAAAGTAATTTATATTATTAGTTAAAGAAAAGTCAAATTGAAAGAGAAATTTTTCTATTAATAATTTAGTAAGAGGTTATATTAATTCTGCTAATTATTATAGTCATTATTATTATATAAAATAAATAAATTAATTAAAATTCAATTTTAGGTTATGTCAAAATATATTTATATAAATATCATCACTTTTAACTGATAAATGATTCTTATTGATAGTTATTAAGCGAATAATTAGTTATTTATCATTATAATTGATTATCAAAAAAGTTTATCAAGATTTTATATAATTATAATTTTATTTCAAGTATATAAAATAAAATAAATAATTTTATTTAAAAATTAAATTTATCTTAATAAATCAGAAATTAAAAAGAAGAGAAATATTTTTATTCAAATACTTAGTATTGAAATTATTCCTAACAATTGTTTTTAATAAATAAGTATAAATAAGTAAAATTAAAAAATTAAAATTATTTTCTTTTAGTGAATTTTTTTCTATCTACTTTAGTATCTGTCTACACAATACGTATACTATATAAATATTTATTTAATTACTTCATTAAAAAAAAATATATATTATATATAATAAACTGATAATAATTTTATATTATTTTTATAAAATTTTAACTTTACTGTATTATGTACGATAATATAATATGAAATATTATAATAATATACCTATCAAATACTTATTTAAATTATTTAAAAATTGAGTGTTTAAAAAAAAAAAAAAAAAAAAAAAATTGCATTGCAAATTATATTAACAACTTTATCCAATGAGAGAACAACAATCTTTCTTGTAGTTTGAAAATATTGTATCTTTTAAATAAGATGGAGACACTTGTCAGTATCAACATTTTTAATTAAACGATAATTTGTATTGAATTAAAAAAATTATAATTAAACATTTTTGTTTTATAAAATATGTTTAAAAAATTTAGCAAATTTAAATAATTTAATTGATTTTTTGAAAAATAAAATAAATAAAGAGTAGCTCCTGACATTATGCAACATAATATTCATGTGTGTTATTATCTGGTAAAAACAATACATATTTTATAATTGAAAGTTTTTGATAAATAAAAACAAATTTTATTAAGTAAACTAAACACATTATTTTTTTTAAAAAACTAAAATTTGGTTTTCAGTCAATCAAATTTATAAGAACAAAAAGTTTAGGTATATTGGAAGTTTTTTTTTTTCTTATTAAATTTAAATGAAAAGAACAATTATTATAATATTAGGTATTTAAATATAGCGCTCAGTTATAACACAGAGAGGAAAAAACTGAAAGCTTTATTGCCTTCTTAAGTGGATATCATGTCCTCTGTGTGTCTCAAAACTATTTTTAAAATATACCCATATGGTGCAGACTTAGTGAAAAGAATAAAATATTGTTCAAAATTCATCATCATTTTTTCTGTTCAATTTTACATATTTTTTTCCTTTCGTTATGTGTAATAAAAAAATTAGTAATAAATAAAAAAAAATACATATACAGAGAAAAAATATATATAATTATAGAGCTACACTCTAAATCTGAATGAATAACTTAATTTTTGACTTTGACGTTTACTTAATAAATTTTTTTTTTACTATTAATTAATTAAATTTTACTAATTCAAAAAAAAAAACGTCAGTTACTAATTCAAGATAGTTAAATTTTTTTACCATATCAGTTTTAGCAATTCTACCTAATAATTAAAAATTTTATTTACGCCCCTTTTAAATTTTGGATTATAAATTAAAAATTTATTGTGCTCTGCATTTTCAATTAAAACTATATATAATAAAAAATAATTCTCATAACATAATAATAATAATAATAATAATAATAACAATAGTTATAATAGCAATAATAATAACAACATAATAAAAAAAATAAATTCTTTACAATAAATTGCATCCATTTTTCAAATAAGGAATATAAAAAAATTAATTAATAAAAACCAATGCAAATGATTAATAAAATTTAATAAAACCGAGTAATCAGAATCCTTAATAATGCAATTATCAAAGGAACATTTTTGCATGACGTCATGAATTTGCAGACGAATGTCTAGAATTAAGTCTAGACGAATGGTCGACATACGTACATACATAATACATTCTCTTTAAATTTATCAACTTCTGTGACTTGTATCTTTACAGCATTATATAGAATTTTTGTAAAATTTTCTACATAAAAAAAAACTTCTTATTTTTAGAGGAAAATTTGGCTTCTTGAGAGCAGGTTATATTATCTTCTCAAAATAAGAATAAAAAAATTCTCTTTAATATATAAAAGATTACGTTTTAATTTTGAGAGAGAGAGAGAGGAGAGGGGGGAAATGCGAAAAGAAGTACTTTAGAATTTTCCTCTTATATTAAGAGTTTTCTTTAATATTATAATATTTCGTGCATTCTTTAAAATATAGAGAGGCAATCATTTTAATAAATTATAAATTAAGGAATTAATATAGTATAAATAATATTATAATATAAAAATAATTTCCTCTTCAATTGAGAGGAACTGTTTTAAAAGAACTTGACCTTTTGAAAAAATGTCCCATTTAAAATACCTTGTTCATGAAGATAGGATTAAAAAAATTTTCCCCTCTTTAAATTCTCAAATATCCAAATTTAACGACTCCGGACGCATAATTATGTTCTAAAAATTATTAGTTAGATTTTTCATTTTATGGAATTTCATTTGTCATAAGACGCATTCCATATGAGAATACGGGGGTCATGTCTCGGATTTTTCTCAAAATTCGGTAAATTGTAGTGATAGTGGTGCTAAAAAAGTGTACAAATTTTGAATTTGAAATTTTAAATATTTTTTTCGAATTTAAGCACTATTTTTTTGCTTTACTTATTACTTTTTTCCTATTAAAAATAGAGAAAAAATGTTGTAAATGTTTTTTACGCAGAAGACCTTAAACTTTTAGAAAAAAATTAATTTTTTCAAAAAATATTAATTTTTCTACAATTTTTTAAAAAATAAAATTTGTTTATTACTTTTAAACATATGTTCTCCCTCATTTAGAAGCGCGAAAAAAATCATGAATATTGTTTAAGTCATAATAAATCGATGGTTAAATTTTTGAGATGGCATTATTTTTTGTTTTCGAGATATTAATTAATTAACTAACAAAAGTTAATAAAAAATGAAATAAAATGAAATATTTTACGAACAAATAAAATTAGAGTAATTTTAAAAACACCATTAGAATGCTTATCAAAATCCGCATCCAACGAGCACTGTATGAACTATTTCTAATAAGCGGGTGTTAAATTAATAATTAATAATAAAAATTATTTAAATAATTAATAATATTTGAAGAAATTAAGATAAATCATCAATTCTTTTTTTATTTGGAAGATAATCTAATTCTGTGTTAAATAAAACCAGTGTTAATAGCATTTTTAACAAATCTAAATTATTAACAGATGTTTATTGAAAATCAATGTTTCAGCACCCCATAACACAAGTTGGAGGAGGCTGTCTACCTACTCGGCAAGGTATTTTTCAGTCTTTTTCTAAATAACATTTTATAATTAATTTTTGATTCTTGGTAATACTTAATATTCTTTTTTTGACACAGAATTAGATGATCTTCCAAATAAAAAAAGAATTGATGATTTATCTTAATTTCTTCAAATGTTATTAATTATTTAAATAATTTTTATTATTAATTATTAATTTCACATCCGTTTATCAGAAATAGTTCAAATAGGACTCGTTGGATGCGGATTTTGATAAACATTTTAATGGTGTTTTTAAAATTACTCTAATTTTATTTGTTCGTAAAATATTTCATTTTTTATTAATTTTTGTTAGTTAATTAATTAATATATCACGAAAACAAAAAATAATGTTATCTCAAAAATTTAACCATTGATTTATTATGACTTAAACAATATTCATGATTTTTTTGCGCTTCAAAATGAGGGAGAACATGTTTAAAAGTTAGAAATAAATTTTATTTTTTAAAAAATTGTATAAAAATTAATATTTTTTAAAAAAATTAATTTTTTTCTAAAAGTTTAAGGTCTTCTGCGTAAAAAACATTTACAACATTTTTTCTCTATTTTTAATAGGAAAAAAGTTATAAGTAAAGCAAAAAAATATTGCTCAAATTTGTTATTGTAAATATCTCGAAAAAAATATTAAAAATTTCAAATTCAAAATTTGTTCACTTATTTAGCACCACTATCACTACTATTTACCGAATTTTGAGAAAAATCCGAGACATGACCCCGTATTCTCATATAAAATGCCTCTTATGACAAATGGAATTCCATAAAATGAAAAATTTAATTAATGATTTTTGTAACATAATACATAATCGATTTGAGAGAATTACATTGGTAGGATTATTCAGTAGAGAAATTTTCCCCTTGATACGAGATTATAAAATTTTTGTAATGATTCGTTTGAAAAAATTTGATTACTGTTGAAAAAAAAGTTTTAATGATACTTTTGTTTTTTTGGAATTTTCTTGGAGAAAATGGTTTTTAATAATTAAAAAAATGTGGATATTTAAATGTTTTTTTAATATAATTTTTTGGATTCGATTGAAATTTATTTTCAATATGTTTTTAGATCGATGAATACGAATTTGATGTTACATTTTCAAAATTCATAATGGCGGATCCAATATGGCTGCTTTTTTAAAAAAAAAATTAATGAAATTTACTCGTGGTTTTTTTGGTTTGTTAAGCACGAATTTGAGGTTAGTTTTTAAAAATCCACAATGGAGGATTCAATATGGATGACATTTTTTTAAGCAATAAAATTTGTTTGAAATAATTTACGCGGAAGTTAATTTTTGAGGTCTCTAAATATGAATCTGATATTAGCTTTAAAAAATTTCAAATGTCTAATCCAAAATATTGATATTTTTTTTTCAAAAAGTAATTACATTTGTGTGTTTCTGAAATATTCAAAATGGTAAATCACTAATTTATATATATTCTCATTGAATGTAATTTTGAAGAAAAAAAACAGGAGTTTTTTTTTAATTATATTATATCTGTTATGTATTATAAACTATACAAATACAGGAGTAATTTGAAAATAAATTTTGAAGAAATTAAAATTTATCAATTCGTAACGATTCTCGCGCATCTATTTCCTGTTTATAACTAAAAAGTAAATAAAATTAATTGACTCTTAAAAAAAAAAACAAATTGAAAAAACGTTAAAAAATCATTATTTATTTTTTCACTAAATGTATATTTGTATATAATTATAAATAAATTTTATATTTATTCGTGGTGAAAATAAATATGGGATGCTGCACACTGCACTTGCGCATGAAGTCTTATTTCAGTGATCTCCCCTAAGAGTTCGTCGACTGGCCCACCACCACCATCAGGGCCACAAGGAAGAACGTGACAAAAGCCCTGTTCCATTCACCCAGCGACGAGGCAACTGTCAAACTCGAGAAGAAATTGTTGAGCTTTTTTTCTATATATTTTAATCATTTTTTTTTTCTTCTCACTTTTTGTCAAAACTCTTCTTTTTTTTTCTCTCTTAATAAATAAATTAAATTAATCATAACATCATGAGGGAAATTGTTCATCTTCAAGCTGGACAGTGTGGAAATCAAATTGGAGCAAAGGTGAGTTTTTTTTATTTATTTTGAAAATTCAACTATATAAACAATTAACTAATATATATATAAAGGATTTTGAGAAAAAAATATTTTATTTACATTTATTTAAGCAATTAAAATTTTTATTTTATAAAAATACATCAATTAATTATAGCAGATTGAAAAATTCGCATTTTTATATTTTTATGCAATAAAATTTTTTAAAAATGTGTGAAATGTTTTTTTATAATTATTTCCAATTATTTATTTAATTATTTTACTTAGAAATTTTTAATTTCAGAAGAATCGAAAAACAATATTTTTTATATACTAAAAGGCCATTGAGCTTTTTTTTATTTGTTATTTAAATCAAATTTACTGTTTGCATAGTAAAAACTTTAACAAAATTAGAAATCTTAGTATATTGATTGTAGTTAATTAAATTAATAATTATTATTATTATTAACAAATTAAATTATGAAATTTACAAAAGTATTTGATCTTCATATTTTGCTAAAATTTTTTTTTTTGTTAATTCATTATTTTGAAATTCGAAATTTTTGAAAAAAGTAAAATTTTATGAAATTGTTACATGTCTCTCATATATTTTTTTTTTTCTTAATTTTTATAATTCAATTATACTTCTTACATATTTTCTTGTTTGTTATAATTTTTCTGCATTTCAAGTTAAACAGTACCTATAAATTGTACCAGTTTATTTTTATATATGCCCGTTTATTACTGTAAATAAATAAATAAATAAATAATTTAAGGACTAGTCCTAGAAGCATTTGATATTTATTAAATAAATAAGAATTATTATTTGTGCCAAGAAATAATATATTTATTTCAAATAAATTTTATTTGATGCATATAAAAATTTTATTTGTGCCTATATAATAATAAAAAATTTTATTTCCTGAAAATTTTATTTCTGTCTGACTAAATCGACAATGAAATATTTCTCGAAACGTGATAATTAAGAATTTAAAAAAAATTTTGTTTTCCAATTTAAAGAAACGTAAAATTTAAAAAAAAATTTAATTGTTATTAAAAAAAAAATTGTAATTCGAAGAAAAAATGAAAAAAAATTAAGAAAAAATAGTTAACAGGATGACGATTTTTAAAGGGAATAATGAAATTTGAACGATAGCCGTTAATACAAATTTGTAGAAATACCCTCTTTTTGATAAGATAGTGAGTAATGTGTAACATCTGTATTTGCACAAAAGTATCGTATAAGAACACTTAGAAGAACTTTTCTTTGTAGAAATAATTGAGTCATATTATTTGCTAATTATTATTAAAGAGACTTTGTGCAAATCAGAAAATTAAAAATTTCTTTAATTTTGCAAGAATTAAATTTTTTTTTACTGATATTATTATGAAACAAATATGTATAGTATTCGGTTTTTTTTTTTTTTTTTTTTAGTATTTTTCAATATCTATTTATTTAATAAATACATAAACGGATTTTGGCAAAAAATAAAACTGTCCCTTTCGCACAAGAAGTACTGATAAAATAAAAAATTAAAAAAAAATTTACCTTTTTCCTAAAAATAATTTTTTTCTAAAAAAAAACCTATAAACATTACTTTGTTTTGAAACAAAATATAAAAATGACTTTGAAGAATTTTTGTGTTAAATAAATATTTTTATTTTTCTTTGTATTCAAAAATTGTTATATGTATAAATTAATATTTTGATTTATTGTATTTTTCTGAGTTTATTAAACTTTTTTTTTTTTATTTATGTAGAGGAATTATAAAAATATGGTTATTATTTTTAGCAATATTTTCTTTGATTTTACGAACGTATACTAAATAAATTTTTATCTGTGAAAAAGCAGCTGCACTTTTTTAACCGTTAAAATTTGAAACACGTTTGAACATGTTCGAAGAATGAATATTATATTATATATACATATAATACTCTCAATACTCAGTCATGCGGGAATGGTGTATAATTTTGTCGGAATCCTTGGTACAGATTTATGGCAACTTTTTTGTTTTTATTATTTCCAGTAACGACCCACCTCAATCTCTTTTCATTTTATTCACAAAAAGTTGTCAAACATTCTATAGAAAACAAGGAAAAATTCTATACAAAAAAAAATATATAGAGTGTTTGTGGGTATTACTGCGTGTTTTCAAATCAGTTATATATTCAAACAAACATTTAAAGATTTATAGTGAATGATTATTAGTAATTCTTTTTTTTTAATGAATACCTGATCTTTCATAGAGCTAAAAAAATCTGTAGATCACTAAAAAAAAAGTTAATTTGTTTTAAAAAAACAGAGAATTAAAATAAAGGCACATGCGTTCATTACTACGTAAAGGCTTACATTACTACGCCGGTATTAATACGTATATTTTTTATACTATGCGTGTATTTCAACGAATATGTCTAATACTACGCGTGCATTATTACGAACGTTTTTAATACTATACACATCATCACTAAGAATCAAATTGTCTTTTGAAATTATAGATATTAACTTTTAATTAATTTTAAAGATACAAAATAAATCCTTTTATTTTATTATTATTACATTTTTGTTTTTTAATATTTCTGTTAGTTTTTGTTGCACATTTTCCACGGCAAGCAATCAGCTTTCCCTCGTGTAATTCATTCTGTCAGTTTTTGGCATTATGCTATCACGAAAATAAAATTTATTCTAAATAAAACTATTACCACAAATTCGTTACATTGTATTCCACAAACACGATCTGTCAATAATAATCTTAGGTTATGTTATTTTCGACGGCGTAGCAATAGACGCATGAGTGAAAATTCCTGTATGTAATTCTACGTTTAAAATTAAAAAATAAAAATGGTAAAAACATGATATTTAATTTACATTTATAAATTCTACTGTTATTACTTTAGTTGAAAAAAAATTAAATTAAATTATTAATATTATATTCTTATAAAGTTTGTTTTATTTAAACTTAAGGGTTAGTTTACAATGGAGTCATGTCAATTTTCAGTTTCCACTGGAATTCTAGTATAGAACATCTGAAATATGCCACAAATATTTATATTTTTCACAACTGCTTCACCCTGCTTTTCTCTATTCTAGTTCCCCACCAAGTATCGAAAAAAGCTTCCATTCCGTGCAAAGTGTCACAATTCAGGTGTTCCACTGATTATTTTATATTGTCAATATTTTGACATGATTAATTTTAATTAATTATTAAATTTATTGTATTTTTATCCAAAGTGCATAATATAATATAAATAAAATAATGTACTAGTTCAACAAAAGAATTATTCTTCATTTAAACTTAATATTCAACTGCGCATATCAACAAAAATGTATTATTTAATTAAACTTAAATATATTTGACTGTATATAGCAAAGATATACTACATCTTAAATTAAGAATATCACTTTTACATTTAATAAAGGAAATTAAAGAGACGCACCTAGAAATTTGATATTGTGTTAAAAGGAAACTGTTCTTATAGTTCTTCTTTCAAAAAAAAGAGCATGCTGGCATATGCTATGCACATAGATACTTCCTACAGGTATACATACTGAAAAAAAATAATATTGAATCAAGAAAACCCATAATACTTATCTATATTTGATTCAATACTTTCATGATCCAATAAAATTTTACTAGTTTAAAATAAATTTTCTTGAATTATTTATTAACTAATAAAGTTTGATGTTTCAAACAATATGTATTTAAAATCCGGAAGAAATTGTATAATTTTTTTTATTCAAAAATTCGTAGGAATTCAAATATAAAAAAAATTAAATAACACAACAGAAACAAAAAATTATACATATTTTTGTTTTTAGTTGATTCCATTAATTTTAATATAATATTTTTCTTTTTATAAATTATACAAGATATATTCTCAAATTTAGAATAAAAAAATTTGTGCTCTGTACTTTGATGCACGGGAAAAAAAAAAGAAAAAGTAATTTTTACTACTTTCATAGTAAAACGTCAACTGTCCAAAGTTTCTGCGCATCTCTGGCAACTTTTACTCCCAAAATAGTACAATTTACTCCAGAAATAGTAAAAATTACTACGGAACAGTAAAATTTACTACAAAAATAGTAAATTTTACTATTATTTGAGTAAAAGTTGCCAGAGATGCGCAGAAACTTTGGACAGTTGACGTTTTACTATGAAAGTAGTAAAAATTACTTTTTCTTTTTTTCAGTGTGGGAGAATACTTTTGTTTTGAAATTAACAATTTTACTATTTTTAATAATCTAATTAAATTTACGCACGATTTTAATTTGAAAGTATTAAAAATAAATATTCGATAATAAATCGTGTACAGTTTTATAAAAATGAATAAAAGAAACGTTAAATGCACGTCTTTGTATTATGCCATCATATTGGCCGGAAGACATAAAATATTGTCTAACTCGTTAGAAATTCGATGAGTCAACTGACATATATATATGTATACATAAAAGTTTTTATTAAATTATAATTCACGAAGAAAAATTAATTACAATACAGAGGAAACAACAATATTCTAAATTTGAGATTATATCATTTATATCTTTATTTTTATGTAAATAAAGTTATTTGCATTTTTTATTCTTACTATTAGAATAACTATAATGTTTTTAAAATAACAAACCATTTTTTAAATTTAGATGTATTCTTATTTTAAAAATATTATATTCTTAATTTGAGATTATTATTTTTAATTTAAACAAAAAATTTCTATTATAGAGATATTTTATTTTTACTAAAAGATTATAAGAATAAAATGCATGGATTGTATTTTTTAAATAAGAAACCATTTTTTAATTAAGAGTATGTATTCTTTTTTTTTAGAATATTATTCTTAATTTGATAGTCATTAAAATAAGAAATATTTTCTAATAATATTTCTTTTTTACTTCAATCGAAATTGTTAATTAAAATTAATTAAATAAAAAAATATTTTTTTAATAACAAAATTAACTCCAATATTATTATTATTATTTTTTTAGGCATATTTTTGTTACTTTAGTTTTGAGCTGCAATTGAAATACAGAGTAAGCACATTATATACCCGCTTGTTTTCGACCAATGAGACATATTCTTGATTTAACTCGTTAAATCGACACAACATTCGTCAAGTTCATCTTCTTTGAATTAATTTCCTCACTGTTTCTCTCGCGCATATGACTACGATTTTTTTTTCAAAACTCACCTTAAAAAGAAGAAAATTATCTTAAAAAAAAAAAAAAAAAATACAATTCAGTAAAAAAATTATTCAATAATATTGAATTAAATGTTGTTATAAACAATTTACAATTTTTATAACTATTTAAAAAAATTATTTATAAAAAAAGCTAATAACTAGAAGCATTTCTTCTGATTTAATTAATAAATTAATTAATTTAAATCAATTGTCATTAAACTCCATAAAAAAGATTCTAAACAATAAAAAAAATATATATATTGGAACTTCAAAGTAGGAATTTATTAAATTTTTAATGTTCTAATTGACAATGACAATAATAATAAGTAATAATAATTATTATTATTATTGCATTTAAGTACTGAAACGAGTTAAGTACTAGGATAAATAAAAATTAATCGTTCCAAAAGATCAGCTTACTGTATAATTAGTAAACAACTTCCCTTGAAGTATTTACTTTATTCTCCTCCCTTTCACAATATTAAATTCTTACATTTTTTAAAATAATTTTCTTTTTTCCAACTAAAAAAAAAGAGATAAAATTTATATATTTTAGTGAAAAAAAATATTAACAGGGGAAATTTCTTTTTTTTATAACCTCTCAAAACAATAATATTCCATTTGAAGATAAAATATTTTATTACACTTCATTCTATAGAATAAAAAATTAATTTTTTTACTTTATTCAAGAATGATAAAAAAAGTACCTTAATAATTTTCTTCTCTTCAATTGAGAGTTTTTATTTAAAATTAAAAGAATTTGTATAAAGTAAAGGGGAAAAAATGTATCGTAAAATTCAAAAATTAAAAATATCTCCTGACAAGAAAAATTAATTTTGTGGTTAATTTAATTTTTTAAATTAACAAAATACAAAAACTAATTTTTTTTCCCAATTCTGAAAACATTTGAAATTTTTGCAACCAAAAATTTTGACCTTTCCCCTTTTAAGAAATCATTATTGAATTATTTTCTTGATGAAATTCATTACATCTGCTGCGAATGATTCATACATCAAGATTGAAACTTGTAAGACAAGCAAACGGAAGTTCAAACTGACGTCTTTGAAGCTAAATCTTTTATATAGTCTTCAACTAAATTTTACCGTTCGATGAACAGCACGATTTTCCGCATGACTACCTTTAACGATCACTTATATATATATATATATACATTGTTGGGAGCAAAATCATTTTAGGTCGTTGATAATTATTATTGACATGCAACACCCAAAGAAAATTCACTGTTATAGTTTTTCTCATCTCAAATAATACTATAACAAAGAAAATTTTTAATCTAATTTTAAGAATATTATTAATATAATCATCACAGAAAAACCTGTAAACTAAAATTAAGAATATATTCTTGGTGCATATTTAAGAATATTTTTTATATTATATTCGTAAAATAAGAATATATACCTACTTAATTTCAATATATATATATATAATTTTTAAAATAAAAAAGAATTTTTAAATTTAAAAATATATTCTTATTTTAAGAATATTATATTCTAACTGTATAAGAATATTATTCTCAATTTAAGAGTACTATTCTTTTTTCAAGAGTATTATATACTATTCAGGCCTCGGATTATACAATTTTTTTCGACTTATTTTAATAAAATGCGACTTGTTCGACGTTTTTTTACATCTTTTTTTTAAAAAAAAATTTTAAACAAAATACGTTTTTTTAGTATACAATGCAGATATTCTTCAGATCTTCTTTATTTCAATTATTTAACAAATTTTTAACTAAAATTCTTCACTAAACCCGTGTGGAAAACGCCCCGTTCGTCCCATGCGTGATAGGGGCCCCCGGCAGGGTCCCAAGTGGAAAATCCATGAGGGCAAATCCATGCGGGCACCAGCAGGGCCCCCGCTATTTGCCCTCACGGTGCCCTGCTCAAAAATTTGTCTAAGTCCAAAAACAAAAATTTTTTTTACCAAAAAATGTTTAGTTCAGAATGCATTAAATAACATTTTAAAGCAGTTGAAATAAACATTAGGTGACATTTAAAAAAATCTAAGTACCAAGTTTTGGAAATCCACAAGGGCACCAGCAGGGTGCCCGGTCTTTACCCTCACGGTGCCCTGCTCAAAAATTTGTCTAAGTTAAAAAAAAATTTTTTTTTTGTATAATAAATGTTTACTTCAGAATGCATTAAATAACATTTTAAAGCACTTGAAATAAACATTGGGTGACATTTTTTAAAAATCTATGTACAAAGTTATGGAAATACACGAAGGCTCCAGCAGGGCCCTTGCTATTTGCCCTCACGGTGCCCTGCTCAAAAATTTTTCTAAGTTCAAAATTCAAATATTTTTTCATCAACAAAAAATGAATGTTTCCAATGATTCAGAACAACAAAAAACGCGTTTTTAATAAAAATATATTTACACTTTTTTGAAAAAAACACTCACACTTATGGCAAAATAGATGAAGGCCATCGTAGGGGCCCGCATGGATCGCCCTCATGGTCGATTAGCAAAATTTTCTAAGTCCAAAATTCAAATATTTTTTCGTCAACAAAAAATGAATGTTTCCAATGATTCAGAACAACGAAAAACGCGTTTTTAATAAAAATATATTTACACTTTTTTTGAAAATTCACCTGAGATGATTCATGATAATAATCATAAAGCATATAATTAATTATATTTTATAAATTGCATTTGATTGGAAAATATAATTTAATATCTTAACTTTAACTAAATGATGTTAAGCACTTTTCTTTGTTAGGTATTTTTGAAGTTTAAATAGCATCAAGAAGTTAGCATTCGTTTTGAAGTAGCGTGCGTAGCGTAGTTGGTAAAGCGTTAGACTCATAGTCCGTAGGTCGTAGGTTCGATTCCCCCCATGCGTTAGATTTATTTATTTCTCAGGTTTGCGTTTAATCATTAATTCTATGTATGAATTAATTGAAAAATGAAAATATCCGTTAATAGTATGCATAAATTACATATTTTTTAATTTTTTAATTAATTAATTTATTATTACTTTTAATTATATCCGACAGTTAATTAATTAGAACGTTAATTAATAAATTCAATTTGAGTAAGAATTTAATTTAAAATTGAATAATTATTAAATAAATATGTTATTTATTCATAACTTAAGCTTATTTATTATTAATTAACTTTTATAATATAAATTTATAAAATTTATAAATAAAATATAATAAATTTTCCATGAGGGTAACCATGAGGGAAAGCATGTCACGCCTTTGAGGGCTCCACGTGGATTGCCCCTATGGTTTCCATGCGGCACGAGGGCAATCCACGAGTGCCCCTCACGGGGCCATTGCCAATTTTCCACACGGGAATTAATTATATT